GGGAATTCAGTTTTGTTTAGCCTTTGATCTCCTCTCTTTCTGCCTGGCATTCTACAGGGGGAGGAGCACTCTGCAGAGACTCGCATGGACTGTGTCTATGATGGCGGGGCCACTGTGTAAATACAAGAAAGCAGTCCTGGGTGGAGAAGACCCAGGCTATAGCCCCTCTGGGCCAATGTGTACCCTTCTTGGACACTGAGGGATCCTCATCATGGTCTCCCCAGCTTCCTTGGTCATGGGTCAAGTGCACATGCTATGTGGGGTGAAGTATCTGTATATGGGGCAGCTCCTGTGGCAGCCTTCACACAGTGGTCAGGTAAGAGTGGAGAAGCCAAGCTCCAATGCCCAAGAGCCAGGCAGGGCTTTCTGGCTGCCCTCACACCATTTCCGAGAATCAGAAGTGGGTCTATGACACTAAGTTGTCTAAGACAAAGGCTGAAAAAGGGCCTCAGTGGCTGCAGGTGAGAATCAGGCTGATTCTTCCCCTAGGTCTCATCTGCCACTTTTTTTTTTTTTTGTAGTTATAGATGGACAGAATGCTTTATTTTATTTATTATTTTTTTATGTGGTGCTAAGGATCAAACCTAGCTTCTTATACATGCTAGACAAGCGCTCTGCCACTGAGCTACGGCCCTAGCCCTCACCTGCCACTCTTGAGAAGTTCTCCAGGCAGGCCCCACTGCCCTCCCAGGCATGAAGGATAGCAGAAACAAAGGCCATCCAGGCTGCAGACCCCACAGATGCAACAAGGTCCCTCTGTTACATGCTGGCTCTTCCACTACAGCAGGACTCCTTGGCAGAGATGGACTTACCAGAGTCTTCATCATCTTTCTAAAAAAGGGACAAAGAATCATCCAGAGGGACCTGGGATGTTGAAAGGCACACAACAATCTCAGGTCTGGGTTTTCCCAAGACTGAACTCCAGAATCATTCTTTCCCTTTTTTAATACCCAAAGTTCAACTAGAGCTTAGACATGTCTACACTGTGAAGGCATCTGCTGCGATGCCCATCCTGGTCCCTCTCCCCAGACAGCTGTGAATTCAGGCCACAACTGGTTAACTTGACGGGCGAATTCGAGCCCGCAGCAGCCTGTGCACAGGCTGACTGTCTTCACTCAGCGCTGTAATCGGCACATCTGCAGACAGGAAATCCTCCTCGCTGAAGTTCCCAGTCTATTATCTGAGACACCTGGTGTGGGCGGGTGATTCACAGACAAACAATGAGGGGGCCCCCTGCACAGCAATTAACTGCTTTAACTGCTAATGTGTTTAATCCACCACGTGGAGATCAAGGCTGTGCCGAGGAAGAGGCTGAGTCCTCTTCGGCTTCCAGACTTGTAGCACCCACTTCGTGATGCCAACATTCATTGTCCTCAAGGGCTGCAGGACACAAGCCACTGGGCAGGTCCACAGCAGCATCTGGGCCCCTTTTATATGTGTTCTTGGAGGCAAAAAGGGCATCCTTCCCTTTTCTGTTTTTTAAACACCCACCAAAGCCCAGCTTATTTGGACACAATACTTACTGCTCAGGACTAGAAGCACCATCCAAGGAGATGCTAGTGGTGCCAGATATGCAGCCCCCCAAGGCATTTTACTTTAACCTTCTGGAACGGATCATCCTTTATTACAAGTAGAAATAATTCTTGTTTAAAGGCTTATCAGTGCAAACCAGAGAAAAGATTACCAGTTGTTAAACTGGGAAGTGGCTCCTGAATGTTTACAAAACCTGGCTCAGAGGGAGCAGCAAAGTCAGCACATGCCTGTACCACCCCCCTCCTCCCCAGAAGGCGTGCCAGAAACTGCTGCCGCCACTGCCACAGCCCTGGGGAAGCAAGGTCAAAGGCCAAGGACTGTGAAAAGCTTCCATCCCCAGCATCAATCACACCAGGCAGACTGTCTGGGGGATGCTCTTTTTGAAAATACAAAAAATAGAATAGTGGGGGAGGGTGTGTGTATGTACCATGGCAACTCTGCCCGGCAGGGGCCTTACTTTTTTCCTGCCAGGGACCTCCTTGAAGTTGGGAGGACCGGGGATTTTCCAAAGGCAAGGTCCTTGGCTCTCTAGAGCCACTGCCATCCAACAGCATCTGGCTGCATGGCCCACCCCTCCATTCAAAGGTGAGATAAGGGTTCTGTGTGCCAATGGTAGGAGTACAGAAGACAAAGGGGAAGGTTGGGGAGTGAGTAGGAAACAAGAAACTAGCTATCTCACTGATTAGAATGAAGTTTAACACTTTTGGCTCCAAAAGGTACACCTAATCTTTGTGGTGGTCATTATACTGAATTTACTTAAATTTTACTTCTACAATTTGACCAAAAACATTTCCTTTGGTAACTGGTCAACTTTGGGTCAAGAAATACTGAATTCATTCCAGGGCATTTCAGATCCCTCCTTATACAATCTGCTCTTGTGTTCACTATGTACAAGTGGAAGGTCTGCCTCCTTCATTTTTTTTTTTTTATTGTTGTTTAGATTTCCATGTATTCTAAACAATTCAGGAGAAACTTTTTTTTTTTTCCCCAGAAGCAGCCAGGCTGCTTCGGGACCCCCATCTTAGCAGATGCTGGGACCCTGGTTAAATAAATCAGCCTTAACAAGCACTGATGGAACAGCCTCTTGGGCTACTTGGTAAACACCAGTTTCATGAGGCTTCTGAGAGTGACCTGAGTTCTAAGCCCTCTGGCTCACATCAGGGGGACACAGACAAGGCTCAGCACAGTGACTCCAGAGAACCAGAAATAATGGGAGAAAGCAACAACCTGACAATTCTGTCAATGTACAAGTTGACAGGACAGTTAGGAAAACCAGAAGCCAAACTATAAGGTGCTCATATTGAGGTGGGTAGGGATGTCCTCATAGAGAAAACAGCATGCATTCTATGACTCTGATCAACAAGAACCTGCAACTCTGATCAACAAGAACCTGCAGCTCTGACCAGGTACAGTGGCACACACCTATAATCTAGTTACTCAGGAGGCTAAGGCAGGAGGATTGCAAGTTTGAGGCCAGTCTGAGTAATTTAGCAAGCCCATGTCTCAAAATAAAAAGGGCTTAGTGGTAAAGTATCCCTGGGCTCAATTTCCATTTAGAGGGTGAGGTGGGGGGACAGCCTGCTGTCCTCCTCCAGGGAGCCCATTCACAGTAGCTGTGGTACCCTAATCCCAGCATGAATATGACTCAAATGGCACCTGAGCTTTCTGCTCCCCACACTAGGTTCTGGGCAGTCCCTCCACAGTCACCCTCACCCAGGCTCTGGGCAGGAATCTCCTCTGGCTGCATCCATACTCTTCACCCTTTTCCCTAGGTGCACAGCCAGGGAGGCTATGTGTTTAGCAAGGTCAGCAATGAGCTACTTATATACAGTCACATCTGTTCAACCTTCATCCTCATGAAAAACTAGACCCATCACTCACAGGGAGTAGATGGCCAGGCCACGCCTGCTGGAAAGACCTCCCCAGCCATGCCTCTGCCCAATCACTGGATGCTGCCTTTGGAAACCTGCACACCAAGACTTCTGGAAAGTCCAGTGAGATCCTGATCCTAGCATGTGATGATTTATAGGACCCAAAGCTGCCCAATGGAAGCATAAGAAGACATGAAAAGCCCAGTTAGAGCTGGAAAAAAAAATCTGTTTTTTTTTTTTTTTCAGTACTGGGGGTCAAACCCAGGGCCTCCCACATACTAGACAAATGTTCTGCCTAGCTACATTTGCAGCCCCTGTATCATTGTTATATGTTATAAACAACTATAAACAAAAGTAGACAGCCATGTTCACAGCAACACTACTCATAAGAATCCAAAGGTAGAAGCAACCCAAGTGTCTCTCAGGAAACGAATAGATAAACAAAATTGTTCAACCTTAAAAAAGAAGGAAAAGCCAGGCGCAGTGACACACACCTGTAATCCCAGTGACTCAGGAGGCTGAGGCAGGAGGATTGTGAGTCCAAAGCCAGCCTCAGCAAAAAGCAAGGCGCTAAGCAACTCAGTGAGACCCTGTCTCTAAATAAAATACAAAATAGGGCTGGGGATGTGGCTTAGTGGTCGAGTGCCCCTGAGTTCAATTCCCGGTACCCTCCCCCCAACAAAGGGAATTCTGTCACATGCTACAACATGGATAAACCCTTGAAGACATTATGCTAAGTGAAACAGGCCAGGCACAAAAAGACACATGCTGTATGTTCCCGCCTATATGAGAAACCTAGAGTCATCAAATTCATAGAAACAAAAAGGAGAATGGTGGTTGCCAAGGGATTGGAGGGACGGAAGAATGAGGAATTATCGTTTAATGAGGTTGGAGTTTCAGTTTTAAGATAATGAAAAAGATCGGGATATGGATGGTAGTGATGGTTGCACAACAATGTGAATGTATTCAATGTTGTTATATCAGACATTTAATGGTTAAAGCTGTGAATAAGGTTGGGCATATAGCTGAGGGGTGAAATGCTTACCTAGCAGTGCTTGCCTAGATTCAATCCTCATCACCACACACATAAAGAAAGGTAAATTTTAAGTTATCATGTTATAGTTTGAAACTAAAATAAAAACCATCTATTTTGTGAAAGGGAAAAAAAAAGGCTTAAGCCTCATAGGAAGTATATAGGATTTATATACTGAAACTTTAATGAACATTCTATCAGAGGACATGGAAGCTGGAGGACTCATTATCTTTACTAAATGATTATAATTGGCTGAGAACAGCTGGGTCTCTTTTTTGATTTGTGTTTCTAGAACATGACAGGGTAGAAGAAAAAAGACAGAGGCACATTGTGCCCGGGATGGCCAGAAATGGATAATGTATCTACAGGCTTTTACAATGAAAGGCCCATGAGGGGCACCAGGCAGCAGCCAACCTTCCTTGGAACAAATAGAATGGTTCCAACATTGGAAAACAAAGGGATAGAATGGTAAAGATTTCTGTTCCAAAGGACAAGGTTCTGTTAGTTTCCATGGACCTCAGGGCAACCAGAGACAGCATGTGTGTGGCTCAACATCCCCTTACCTATGGCCCACAGGACAGTGTCAAAGATGCCTGTGTCCTTCTTGCCAGAGGTGCGGTCCTCCCAGGTAACCTGGAGTTGGCCATCTGGAAGCTTCTTGATGCAGGTGGGGATGCAACCCCTCAGGAATTGGGTGCCGTGAGACTCCATGTGCTCCATGACCAAAGAAGACATTTGCTGTGAAGCATAAGAAGACATTCCATGAAGACTATGTGGCAGCGAGATGCAGACCCCAAAAGGGTTCAGCAAGGAAGGACCAAGGAATTGAAGGTCTCTGAGGTGGGGATAGTGCTTCTGTGATATATGCCCACCACTTACTAATGGGACATATGAAAAGAGTGACCCAAACTGATGGTCCCTGAAGCTGGACTTGGTGTGCCCACAAATGTCCCCTCAGCCTGGTAAGAAGAATGTATGTGCAGCTGTGTGTACACTCCATGCACCAAATCCTTCTTTCTATGTTCTAGCACATGCATTTTTATATTTTCTGGAACAATTCCCTTGTTCAATTCAAGGACCTGTTTCTAAAGATACAGACTTTATTCCAAGTCCACAACTGTACCTGCCTAGGGACAGGGAGCAGAAGGGAATTCAGGCCCCGTGGGAGAGCACAATGGTAAGGCAGGAGCCAGAGCTACTTGTACTACCTGGTCAAAGCCCCGAAGGGGGATACTGCGCATCATGACAGTGGTGTCCAGTCCAATCCCAGTGAGGAAGCCAGCACACTCCAGTGCCACATCTGTGAGTACCAGGCTAAGAAATACTAAGAAATCATGACTCCAGAAAACAGGAGGCAAGACTCCAGGCTCCTGCTCAAGCAGCCCACACCCCCACATATCCATTGCCAGCCCCAGTCTCAAGTGCATGGACTAGGGGGTAAGGGCTTTGCCAGCTGGAACTTTAAGCCCTTCCAATACACCCAAGGACTAAGTTGGCCTGTGCCTCTACAAGTTATCTGTCTTGGCTTTGGAGTTTAATCTCAGCCTCTAGGGATAGGCCTGCATTTGGGGGTGGGGTGGGGGGTGTCTATAGAGGTGGAGAGCTGCTGGCCAAGCACAGGGAAGAAGAATATCATGGGTGGAAGATACAAAGCTGCTATCTTTGACCTGTATTTTCAGCTATAAAGTTCCAAAGCGATCATCTGACCCTGAGCTCCCTCTGGGGTTCCTGTCTTGACCCTCTCTGGTTTAACTGCTCCTTCTGAAGGAACGAGGCCAGAGCAGGGCTATTCTCAAGGGAGGAATGCTTGGTGCCTCACAGCCGTGTCCAGATGCCCCAGCTGGCTCAACTGGCTCAGTGTGTGGCTCAGGAAGTCTCCAGGAAGCCCTAGCCCCAGAAGGTAAACTTCAAATTGTCCTTCTCTGAGGGCACAGACCTTACCCCTGAGAGGCTCAGTAAGCATCTAGTCTGAGGTAGCAAAATGACCACTGGGAAGAAGAGCCATCAGGAGAACTCAGGAGAATAAAAGTCCATGTCCCAAAGACAAAACTGCATACTAGCAAAGGATACAGCTGGCCCCAACCACCAACCTGTTAGAGAAATGGACAGAGAGAAAAAGCATGTGAGAACCTGTGTGGCCCACATGGGCACACAAGCAGTCATCCCAAGGGTGGGACAGAAGAGCCCTTTAGCCTTCATGCCAGGCGCTCAGCTAATGAATGCTGAGGCTGACTATTCAAATAGTTCATACTGAGGTACAAAGCCCACTTCCCAGAGGCTATGGCTGTGAAATACAATACAACAAACAGTGTTATTGAACCAGCAAATTGCCTGGTGGTGAAGGGTATGTGGTCAGTGACAAACAGCACCTGTCCTATGAAAGGCACTGGGCAGCACCAGCATTCTGTGGATGTGCTGAGAAACATCCCTCAGGAGAAGCACAGAGTTTTTCTTCTGCCCTAAAATGAGTTCTGTCTTGAGGCCTCTGGAGCCTCCTGGGGCCAGGGTGGAAGCAGGGACATGCTTTGCAGGCAGTAAGGGGACCAGACTGTGGGGAGTTCTTGGGGAAGCATATTCTGTGAACAGAATACTCTTAGACCACAGAAGGCAAGGCTGGAAAGCCTATGTCGTCCTGTCCAGCCTACCATACCTGGGCCCAGAGCCAGGAGAGTCAGCTTTCCAGAGCCAAAGACAAAGGGTACCCAGGTTGCTGGGAGGCAGGACAGGATGCTGAGACTCACTGGAAATGTTTGCTCTAGTAGTTTAGATCCTCTCCTGTGGTCAACTTCACATTCCGTAGGTATGTGCACACACACATACTCACATACACATGCACACATACATACTGACACACAGGTGCACACAATCTCATGCAATTCACATGCACACATATACCTAACCTGCACAACATGTGAACATGCACACATGTGATAACTGGCATGTGCACATATGCATCACATAACACCCTTGTAAACATGCTTATATATGTGTACTTACTTACATGCACACATGTGTACAAAATCACATAGATATATGCATGCACATACTCAGGAGCAGGCTCAGAACCCAACAGAGAATGAGAATTCCCAGCCAGGGTGGCTACGCATGGGTGGGCTCGACAGATCACCTCTTCAGTCTTTGAACAAGAGGAGATGATGTAAGGATGGATAAGCCTAATGTCAGCATTAATCCTGGCAGGTACTAATGATATAATTCCATTTCAAAAAGCATGTATCCCTTGGAATACTTCTATAGGTGCCCTGCGGGAAGCATCTGGCAGGCAGCTTCTTCATAGGATCTGGGAACAGAACCACACTGACTGGCTGGGTACAAGGTGGTCCTGGCTTGTTACACATTCACACTTAGAGTATAAAGAAGGTAAGAGAAGACCCTGGAATTTTCACAGATCAGGAGAGCAGAAATGCATTCCAGGCCCCACACAGGGTCAGCAATGCCTAAGTAATAGACACAGGGGCACAAATGTACATCCATATGAATGTAGACTCACCCATAGGTGTAATACACATAACCAAAGTTACAAAACCTAACTCTTTCTGGATTTGATGTATATAGTGAAAGGTTACAAGCTGGTTCCCCCCCCCCCGCTTTTTTTTTTACTGATACATTGTAGTTGTACATAGTGGTGAGATTTGTTGTTATATATTCATACATGCACACAATATAACAATATAATCTGGCTAATATAATTCCCCAGTATTTCCCTGTTCCCTCCCTTACTTCTCCCCTCTGGTCTCTTTCCTCTGCTCTACTGATATCCATTTTTATGGGGCAGGAACTGGGGACTGAACTCAGGGGTACTCGGCCACTGAGCCACAACCCCGGCCCTATTTTGTATTTTATTTAGAGACAGGGTCTCACTGAGTTGCTTAGCACCTTGCTTTTGCTGGTTGCCTTTGAACTCTCGATCCTCCTGCCTCAGCCTCCTGAGCTGCTGAGATTACACGTGTGCACCACTGTGCCTAGCTACTGATCTCCTTTTGATTTTCATGAGTTCCCACCCTAACCTTTCTTTTCCTTTTTCCTCTCCAGCTTCCCATATGAGAGAAAATATGTGACCCTTGACTTTCTGAGTTTAGTGGTATGAGCCTTTCTTTAAGATATGAAATTATGCGTTACTTAAACTACAAACAAATCCAGTTACCATGGATATATTGGCATAAATCCATGACTGAAGTTAGGAAAGTGCAACAGTGCTCAACATGCAATGTTCTTTGTTCCCTGCTTCTAGCAGTGCCCATGCAATGGGACTCCTGCATTTTGCCAAGCCATGCAGCACTAGAGAAACAAAACAAATGTGGCCCCTATATTGGTCCCTATAGTGTCTTACTAACACTCCTTGGGGAGTGGGCCAGCTGCAATCTACAGTCTGCAGGACAATGGGTTGGGCCAATCTCTGGGCCCTCCTACCACACTGTTGAGCATAAAACAATGTGGTCTCCTGATTCTAGCAAAAATTTTTTCTGTTTCTGCAGTCCATGTGTGTTTCCTAGACCTTCTGCACAGGAAGCTAAATGGAGGAGACAGGTGGATGGGGAAACTGGATCCCCAGATCCTCCCTTGGAGTCCTCTCAGCACCCTGGGCACCTACCTACTCCAACAGTCACAAGCAGTGGGGAGAAGTTACTACTTCATGAGTGCCCTCAGCTCTCAGGCTGCATCTCTAAATTGCCAACTGAAGGCAAATATAGGGGGAAGACAGATGTCAGTCAGACATACTCCTAAATGAGACTCCATGACCATACTTACGTGGCTGAAATCTCGCAATGAAAGCTTACTTCCTGCTTAAATGGAGAGTAACTTTGGGCCTCATGTCTTATGAGTAATGATTTGTTAGTATTGGTTTTTATTCCATCTCTTCCCCCAATAGATCAAATAATGAAAATGTTTATTCTTTGAAGAATGCAGAACATGAGAACTCAAGAGAATTCCCTTCACACCAACTAAAGTAAGAAAATTCTGGGGCAAAAATGGATATAGACAAAGAATTCTTCAGATCATGAGGAATAGAAAGTTCTACAAGAAGAGTAACTATGAATCAATTTCCACTGGCCACTGGAAAGGACTGGAGGACAGATGAAGACCAGGGGGCCAAGACTGCTACAGAGGTGGAGTTACCAGTCCAGGCCATGGCTACCCATGGTATGGTAGTGCTGGTAGAAGTCAAGGAACCAGATCAACAGACCTGAAGGCAGGAAGCTGGACACCGTGGACTTATCACTTTATTAAAAAGACCCTAGGGGGGTGGGGTTGTAGCTCACTGGCAGAGCACTTGCCTAGCATGTGTAAGGCACTGGGTTTGATTCTCAGCACCACATATAAATTAATAAAATAAAAGGTTCACTGACAACTAAAAAAATACTAAAAAAAAAAAAAAAGATCCTGGGGTATAGCTCAGTGGTAGAGCATGCACAAGGCCCTTGTTTCAACTCCCAGTACCACATAAACATGCCAAAAAAAGGGGGGGGAGGGGCTGGGATTGTGGCTCAGTGGTAGAGCGCTCACCTAGCATGTGCAGGACCTGGGTTTGATTCTCAGCACCACATAAAAATAAAGGCATTGTGTCCATATACACCTAAAAAAATAAATATTAAAAACAACAACAAGGGCTGGGGATGTGGCTCAAGCAGTAGCGCGCTCGCCTGGCATGCATGTGGCCCGGGTTCGATCCTCAGCACCACATACAAACAAAGATGTTGTGTCCGCCGAGAACTAAAAAATAAATATTAAAAAAAAAAACTCTCTCTCTCTGTCACTCTCTCTTTAAAAAAAATTATTAAAAAAACAACAACAACAAAAAAACAAACCTAAAACCAGGGTGTCTGCCCACCCACACCAGAAGTTACCATCCTATACCCTGTGAACCTAGAATCTAATTTTCCATGTGTTTCAGGAGGCTCCATTCTCTGACTTCCAGTAGACCAGCGTTTTCCACAGAGAAATAACTGCTATGAGATTAGCTTAATCACAGGATAGGCTTTCTCATTCAAAATCAAAATAGTAGAGGAAGCAAAAATAAAAGCATTAACACAGGCCCACAAAAGCCCAGTTTTACAGAGCCCTCCATATGCCTCTTGAGCTTGAAGGTCCCTGTTCCACTCTCTGGGAGGCACACCCATATAAGTGACAATCTTATAGGAGCACCTGGGCCCTTGGCAGTCCTTCCAGCACAGGAAATGCCAGTCAGGCTGCAGAGTTCTGGATGCCCCAGAGAGGCAGCACCAGGGTGAGGCACCCCCAAAGCTTCTACCCCAGCGGAGTCTGGCTCTGGGCTTGCCTGGGATCTGGTAGCCCAATCCAACCCCTTAGGCACCAACATTGGGCCTGCCAGAGCCTCTGTGCAGGCCAACTGCTAGGAAATAGATGTTATCTCAGGTCCTGGCTCCATAATATTTTAGCTGCAAGGACACAGACAGATGGGTAGAGAGGCTTAACAGTCTAGGAACCAAGTCCCAGGCAGATAGCTGGTATCCCTTTTGCTGAACACAACACCAAAGGAATGTGTACACTAAGCAGAAAATGCAAAAGCAGAAAATGCAGGGGTGATTTGTTCCAAAAAAAAAAAAAAAAAGAATTGTAGCTCTCCCTAAGATAAAATTTACCTTTCTCCCTCTTGCACTTAGGAAAACAGAAAAACAGACATGGTATCTGACTGACTTCTGAACTTCAAGATAAAAGAGGTCAAACAAAAGCTCCTCCTAGGACAAACTGAAGTGTTAAATCAGCCCAAGTTATAAAAACACTCTCCCTGCTTCACAGGACCCAGAAAAATCCAAGGACAGAGAACCCTGAAATGCTAATGTGGCCACAAGAGAGTAGATAGTCCTGAGCTGGCTTTGGTCTCCTTCCAAGAACCAGTGGGCAGCCCAGGGAATCCCTGAGTAGAGCTGGGAGCTATGGATGAGATTGATCCCCTGTTCTATAAGCCTCCTGGGACCTGCACAGGGGCTACCCAGGTGGACAGCAGGAACAAGGTGGTCTTGGTTGCTATCTGGAAATAACACCTCAGTTATTGAACTTTAGACTAGGTCCAATGTAGGGAAAGAGTCTCCCTGAGACAGCCATCCTTTTC